AAAAAATAAATAAATCAATAAATGTGTAAGAGTATTCTTCCCCACTATATGTTTGATTGATGTCTGAGAATATTTTAGACAAAACAGGAAGCCTTTCAATGCATATGCTTTTTTTTAATTTATCCTGTTTCTGCAGCATTGCTGTGTGTCAGCTAAGCCACCCCAGTAAGAGGCCTGTAAGTCCGGACCAACTGACGCTGACAGGCTAAATATAGCACCCGATGACAGTGGTGAAAACTACAAACTACCCCCTGAACCACACTGATGAAGCTATATTTCTTTATACACATTCACACACCACATGTGAAACCTAATTCTGCCAGAATCGACTCACACAATATAATTGAAACCCCTGTAGTGGAAATTGGATTTACCTGGACTCAGCAAAGCAGAAACAAACATCTTTGTGTTACAGGCCTACCGTGCTGCTAAGAGACAACAGAGTGGGTAGACAGACATGCAGTAAGCCATACATTGAAGAATGTATGATTAAATGCAGATTGAATCAGAAATATACAGACATACATTTAAAAGCACACAAGAACAGAAAATGCTTCAACGTATGTGGAGACAGGTGAACCATCAATCACAACAGGAAAGGGTGGGAATTTCAAAGCAATTGATTGAAGAACAGGAGCAAAACAACAGCAGCCTGGGATGCAGGACATGCTGCCTGATCTCTTAGAGTACATCAAATGTTCAAGGCATGAACAGGATGTCCAATTGAAACATCTCTCTTAACTCGAGGAATAACAACTGGTATCAAAGAGATCTGGAATTATAACAAAAACACTCTAGGTATGATTCTCATGTCATGATAACGCTGAATAAAGACTAATTGCACAGAAGTATGTACCATAAATGCACCACCTGAAAAGCAGAGATTACTCCAATTGCTCCTGAAATAACATTTTAGTGTATTTAAAAAAGTGTGTTGGTAAATAGATTTAAATGAAAATCATTAATATTTGTTAATTCATGAAAGGTGCTTAGTTATTTTTGTTTTTCTTGAGAACTTTCTTTTCTTAGCTGTTTATTAAAGAGCAGCAGAACCAGCTAACCAGCTGACATACCTGGTTTATGTGTATCTGCTTAGGTAGAAAATCTGTTGTTGGCTTCCATTATAGTAGTAAAGATTGGTTCTTTAACATCTACATAGGCAGTTTCTGATTTTTTTACGGCCAGAAATATTTCCTCTCAGTCAAACTTGCTAGAATTATTATTTTTTTTATGCCAGCTGACCAGATGAGTGCAAGACAGATGAGGAGGGGGCAAAAGTCTTTATTCTGAGCTCCTTGCAGATAGAAAAACAACTTAAACGCATCCTCTGGCATCTTATAGAATAGAATAGAATAGAATAGAATAGAATAGAATAGAATAGAATAGAATAGAATAGAATAGAATAGAAAATCCCTTCATTTTCCAGCAATGGGGAAATTCTGGTGTTTACAGCAACAAAAATATTATAGAAAAAAATGGTCACACAAATGTGGACCTTAGAAAAGTGTATAAGAATACTTTTTTAAAGGTAATCCCACCTTTCTAATTCACACAGCTCAATCGGCGGGACTTTCAGTCAGTTAACATACCTGCTGTTGAGGGTATTGCATGCCAGTCATCCCCATTTGGCTCCTCCCCTGCATGCTCAATGGATATCGATGTGGAGAAGGTGATGCATATGGCTGGCTTGAGGGGTAGCTCGCACCCCCTGGCTGTTGGGGACTGGAGTATGGATTGTTTGTCATTCCATACATCTGTGAGCGCTTCATAGCCATGAAGTCCATGGCGGGAACCTGTGGAGGGAAAGAAAATGGTTTTCTTTAGATCAGATTTGCCAAAGCATCTCCATTTTCCTTCCTCGGTGTCTCCGGGACTGGATTAAACTCTTATTCTCAAATAAGTGAAGCTCATTCAGCAAACAGAACAAGTCAATTTAGGCCTTAAACATGTACATTAAATCAATTAAATGTCTGGCAGCCAGTTAAATACCCATTATGACAATAATAAGCAATAAAAGGTGACAGATTAAAAAAAATCATGTCAAGATTTGGAACAATTAAAAAATGTCATGCTTCAGCTTGGGATCTGGTAATAAAACAAGAAGTAAGTACAGGCTTTAAGCACATTGCTGGAGCTTAGTTTCTTATAATAAGAAGTGCTTCAAAAAAGGAAAAGAAATTCAAAGGGAAGAAAGAAAGTGTTTCCAGGGCTTTTTTATCCCGTTGTGTAGGACGAATTTTAGGGTTTGTTTGGCGTCTCTGTAAGCCACTGGAAAATTCCTGTATAGTGCATTGGGCTAATGCTAATCCGCCACCAGTAGTTTGTCAGTCTGCAGGGAAGATAAAGTGACATTCCTCTGCCTTTCCTTTCTCCTTTCATGCTCTCTTCCTTTTGTCTCTGAAGTATCTTGAGTGATTTATGACATTTTGCTGTCTCACTGTTTCTCCTCTCTTCTCTCTAACTAACCGCCTTTTCTTCCTACTCCGTCTCCACCCTCCTCTTCTGGTTCCTCTGCTTTTCCCCGACTCAATATCACCCTGTCTACTGTAGAGGAGAAATTGCAGCTGCCTCATATTGCCAGGCTAATATTGAGAAGACATGTCAGGGGAAGGGAGCACTTAATACAGCTGGTTACGAGTAGATGGCCAAGGTGCTCCACTATTTTAAAAGGTTTTGCCTACTGAGCCATGTGCATGGGATAGTATGGGATATCTCTAAAGTAAAAGGAGGATGGAGAAAGAGAGACTAATTTTGAAACGGTTAGAGTGAGGAGAGTGAGAGAGGCTGGAGTGTTCATGAGTGTTCATGAGTGTCTGAAATTATTTCACAGCATGGAGGTGTATGAGCGGGTGCGAGGAGGGTTATCCTGTCACGGTTCACATAATCGGGACTTCAGTAGTTAGATGTGACATTTAATTAGATGCTGGTACACGGTTCTGGTTGAAATCATAAGGTGCTTCTTTCTATTTCAGCCTTATTTCCGTGTGAAGCTATTAATGAAGGAATAATGCGAGGAACTGGTACCAAATCCAGAGCTTGCTTTGCAGCACATTCTGGTTGTTTCCATTTCGAAGATGAAGAGCTGCTGGTAAACATGCAGCACCATCTCTTTTCCTTCATCAGGGTTCAAGTACTTATTGTGCATAAGGTTGGTTTAAAGCATAACTAAACATTAGAACACGAAGCTGAGATGTTAATGACGAGTTAAAATATTTTGAAGAAAAGATTGTGCATGTAGGTCAGTTCATCATACACAACGTTTAAAGTGCTTTATTTAAATCGAAACCAAAAACACCTCCAGCAGGTTTAATCATAAATATTTTCATCTTTTAAATATATGTTCTGCTTCAATTAGGCTTTATTGTTTATGTCTGAGCAATTTTATGAGGTCCAACCAGAGACATTCAAAGCAAACATTTGACCTAAGTTGATTTTCTCTAAACCAGTGATAATTAAGTAATAATTGGGCCTGCTGCTCTTTAGGTCTGAAATCACATAGCAATTCCTAAATGTCATGAATTAGCTTAGTTTGAAGCGAGCATAATCCTTTACCGTACGTTAAAAGATGAATTTTTAAACTAATACATCTGAATTAGTTGAGTTAATAACATCGTAAAAGAGTTATTGTGGGTCAGTCAGTTGTACTCACGCGCCGTCAAAATAGCCTTCTTCAATTGATTTGATGAAAACCTCCAATGATAAATACCATCAGGATTTTTGATGCCACCCTTTAATTTAATAAACTGAACTGAGGATATAACCTATAGCTTTAGTTTCACTAAATAGAGTTGAAAGGTAAACCAAAGATGATTTAAAGAAGAATTTTTAAATTAGTCTGGTGAGGTTATGGGTTGTTAGACAATTAGTACCTTTCTTTTTCTTATAAACGCCTTGCAGAATCATTACATACCCTGGAATTTAAATCTTTGTATAAAACATATGTAGATTAATAGCCGTGAAATGCTCTAATCTCACATGTAACTTTTTATAAGTGTACATCTTTAAGGTGGCTGCCTGGCTGTGGAGCGACTGGTCCTATAGAGCGAGGAGGAGGGAATGGAGGACAATCAATGATATGATTTTCTCTTAAAAAAAAAGAAGATGTAATACATAATCATGAAAAAAGAAAATCTGATTAGAGTTGTAAATGTCACATGTGTAAAAACATTGCAAAAGTTACAGAAATAAAATATCTTTTGTCCAATTATCACTATTAAATCAACGATGTGCGACTTGCTATTCATTTGTGAATTTTTTCACAAGAATAAAATCCCTCTAGTATTTTTAACTTTCGCCATTGGAGACCAGCTAACAAAGCATTAGTTTATGAGCGCTAAAAGCAGTTTGGAGGCAGCATAAAAATAAATGTTTGAATTAAAGAGTGAAGGAGCAGAATAAAACTAATTTGATATAGAAACGCTAAAAAAACAGCCATCTGACAAGACTGCTGGTTATATTAAAGTAAAGCACACAAGAGAATAAAAGCATTATTTCTTGAATAATAATAAAAAAAAACATGTTAACTTTTTACACGAAAGAAAGAAGTCGAAGTAGTCTCTTTTCATATTTGTAAAAGGTCATCGTACTATTCATATTCGCCTGTAAATCTTCAGTTAGACACTAGAGGTAATTGCTAAACAAATATTTTGCTCTACTTTGGGGCTCCCAAAATAGTGCTGGCCTCAAAGTGCTTGAAATAATGTTAAACTAACTGAAAACAAAAGAGGTGATTTATACAGTGGTGAATTGTGTTGACAAACAGATGCTGATCATCTGTTTCTAATGGAGCAAAATGGTATTTTGAATGAGCAAAGGGGAAATCATGACCTGTTCAAACTGTAAAAAACCCCAGGAGGCAGACAGCCAAACACTCTTCAGTTTCCATGGCGCTTTGCAACATGATATGGGAAAAAATAACCCCCCGCTTCCAAACTCCATCCAGTTCACTAGTTCATCTCAAGAGGTCCTTAGTTTGCCAATAAAACGCTGAGCGCAACACAAGTAAATCCCCTCATGCAGCTGCCAAGCATGCACACATGCTTACGAAAAAAGCCATTAAATGCTGCACTTAGGAAGGTACTGAAGAGAAAAAACAAGCAGAGTTTGGGGAGCAGAAGAGTGGATTTAACACAGACATGTTAGAAGCAGAATATTCAGCTCTTACAGTGTGTCTCCCATCTCCACGCCGAGTTCTCAACCACTTTCACAGGGAACTCATAGATATAAGAGTCACAGTAAAGTTATATTTGATATACCGATCCATTTCCCTCAAAAAGAGGAACAGTGAAAAAATCTCATGTCAAGTTCCACTATGTTGGACTTCAGCTTATTGCAGTCATGTTTTCCGAGATATTTCGCTTACACCACTGAGCACACAAAAAACGACAACAGTTCTTGACAAACTGAAACATATTTTTTTCACCTCTTACCTAGAGAGGAATGACAGCTCCTCGCTTTCGAGAAAAAAACTGCGAGTGTGATGCAGAGGGAAGCATGTTTAGAGCCAGGGGGGAACTGCCGATTAAAAAGGGAAACTACACAGAAGTAGTTTTTTGCTTTCATAAAATGTTTTTGTTTTTCACTCTTGTCATCTGGGCATGCCAATCAACGCAGGAGAGAAAGTAAAAAGAGCCGTGGGAGACAATAGTAATTCAGCTGCTAAATTTAAAATTCAATTTATGAACTCCTCTCTATTCTTGTGAGCATTTCTTTTTCCCTCCAATCTTTCTTCCAAAACAAAGCCATTAAAAGAGAACATGGGTGAAATTACAGTTGAGTGAAACCTGCTAAATTGGTTTTCAGAGCTCAATCGACAACAATTTTTTTAATGTTGTGAAAATGATTTTCCTCCCCTCTCCCTTTAATGTGCTAAGTTGTTAATCAGGAGAAAGCAAAATGTTTGACGCAAAACGGGTGGGAAATACGGATTATGAGACACACACTGGGATCAAAGACACATAAAACTATATTGGTAAACGGTTATTATTCCAGTCCTGTTTTAAATGAGGAAATTCCTTGGGGGTGGGAGCGGAGGGGTTGTAAGGTTATTGCTCCTTTTATCAGCTTTGGTGAACAACTTTTTAGTGCAGGCCTAAGATGCATGTTACAGCCAAAATCTTCCCTGTGTTATATTTATTAATGTATTAAAATATTCCTACAAATAAAAAACAAAAGCAATTCATTTAGTTTTGTTCGTGGTAATAAAAAAAAAAAATAAATAAATCAATAAATGTGTAAGAGTATTCTTCCCCACTATATGTTTGATTGATGTCTGAGAATATTTTAGACAAAACAGGAAGCCTTTCAATGCATATGCTTTTTTTTAATTTATCCTGTTTCTGCAGCATTGCTGTGTGTCAGCTAAGCCACCCCAGTAAGAGGCCTGTAAGTCCGGACCAACTGACGCTGACAGGCTAAATATAGCACCCGATGACAGTGGTGAAAACTACAAACTACCCCCTGAACCACACTGATGAAGCTATATTTCTTTATACACATTCACACACCACATGTGAAACCTAATTCTGCCAGAATCGACTCACACAATATAATTGAAACCCCTGTAGTGGAAATTGGATTTACCTGGACTCAGCAAAGCAGAAACAAACATCTTTGTGTTACAGGCCTACCGTGCTGCTAAGAGACAACAGAGTGGGTAGACAGACATGCAGTAAGCCATACATTGAAGAATGTATGATTAAATGCAGATTGAATCAGAAATATACAGACATACATTTAAAAGCACACAAGAACAGAAAATGCTTCAACGTATGTGGAGACAGGTGAACCATCA